CTGTGAGAACAAATGGGGGGAAAAGGTCAGTCACACAGGCAGCTCATGCTACCACTGAATTCTTTGCAGTAGTCTACAAACCGTGCAATGCATTCTGAAATATGGCATCAGCTAAAGATGCACAATGTCTCTTGAGCGTAACTTTTGAGGGTAGTATCAGGTTCCTATTTTCTGTACTGTGTTTGTGTGGAAAGGTTTTGGTAGCTGGGGATTACAGGGTTGGCTTCTCAGAGAAGCTTCTAGAAGCTTCCCCCATGTCCAACAAATCCAAGACAGATATGCTGCTGGTCAAGGCTAAGTCCATCATCAGTGGTGATAGTGTCTCTAAGGCAATGTATTCAAAAAGATGAAAAAAACCACCTGTGCATCCAACTGCAATCAGAGAGGAGTGAGACTATGTGAGAGAAACAGCTCTGCAGGCACTGAGGTCAGTGAGGAAGTAGTGGGGAGAGATTTTCCAGGTGCTGGAGCAGAGATTCCCTGTACCCTGTGGTGAAGACAGTGGTGAGGCAGTCCCTGTGTCCATGCAGCCCATGGAGGTCCATGGTGGAGAAGATGGATGCCCAAAGGAGGCTGTCACCCCACCAGAAGCTCAAATGCCAGCAGGCTTCTGGCCAGGTCTGTGGAGCCCACACTGGAGCAGGTTTGCTGGAAGGACTTGTGATCCTGTGAGGGACCCACGCTGCAGCAGTAGCAGAACTGTAACCTGTGGGAAGGACTCACACTGGAGAAGTTTATGGAGAACTGTGTCCTGTGAGAGGAACCCCACTCTGGAGCAGTGTGAGAAGACCTCCCCCTGAAGGAAAAGGTAGCCTCCATCACCCTGCACCACTGGGGAGGAGAAGGTAGCAGAGAAAATCAGGAGTAAAGTTAGGCTGAAGAAGAAGGTGGGGAAGGAAGTAAGATGTTTTTAAGATTTGGGGATTTTCTTCATTGTCCTACCTTTTTTTTTCCCCCCAAGCCTGTTTTGCCCATGATGATAACTGCTGAATGGACTCTTACTCTCCTTATCTCAACCCACAAGCCTCTCTGTATCTTTGTCTTCTGTCACGTTGAGAAGTGATAGGGTGGCTTTGGTGGACATCTGGCATCCCATTAGGGTCAACCCATCACATGCAGCAAATTCTACTGAGGTAACTACATGATAGAAATACTGATTATACACCTGCTGGCTTTATCTATTTTGTATTTGCATTTATGTACATGGTGTCCTCTTCACAGTTGTGCAAGTATTTATATGCTTAGTAGTGAAAAAACCCATCATAACTTTTCAAATAAGATGAGTCTGTCTTTAAAACTGGAGCTGAAATGACGAAATAACAAGTCTGTGACTCATCATTGTTGTACATTGTTATTGTCACATCCACAGCTAGACCAATACCTTTTGAGAGCTGCTTATTTTTAAGGACTTACATAAGTGAAATGACCAGGGGCTTACAGCACGCTTTATCTCTCTTGGAACAATTTTTTCTGTTCTGGCACTGTAAACTTGTGATCTCCTTTCTGTCTATCTTTTTTCTTCTGGCTATGCAGTGCAAGATGTGTAATATTTGATATTTCTTTTAGATTATGGATATCTTAATTTATTGTCATGTCCATTTGATTTGGTTCTCTACTTACTTTCCTTCCTAGAGGTGGTGAGAACAGAGTTTCATTTTGCTTTTGACAAACTACCTCTTCAGTGACAGTATCAGTGCTGGAGAAATTGTCAGGTTTGGGTTTTTAATTTTGTGCTAAAGAGACTGATGTGCATAACAACTGTGAATGCACTTTAAATAGATCCTACTTCCATTTTGCTTCTACCTTAATAGGTATCAACTTTGTTACTGTGTAGGATTCAGCATCAGTTTTGAAAAACTACATTTTCATTGCTTACATTCCATTTCTTTAATATGTCTTAGTCCTCAGGCTGTATTTGATGCCACAGATCCTGGGTTCTCTCAATTATCTGATCTTTTAATTTGCTCAGGACCTTATTTTGACAGCCTCATTTCAAATGAGCCGTCCTTTACTCTCACTATTTACTATTACTCACATTGAAATCAATTGGCGTCTTATAGATCATCTTCGGGGCAAAGATAGCAAAAATTTGTTTTCCCATATCTACAGAAAAGTAATAGTTTCTACTGGTTTTTATTAAATGATGCATTTCAGGTTACCTATTTGTCTATATATTGTAGCCATTGGACTGTATCCATGCATTGTACCCATTGAATAGCTTTCCACTCCAGAGTCCCCTGACTCCCAAGGGCAATCACTAGTACCATTTTCCCTGAGACAGGTTTTTCACAAGGTGGTGATATCTGTTTGCTTTTCAAAAATTTATTTCTTCTGTCTTTCTGTCTGTTTTTTCCTTATGCTCATTTGCTTCTTGATTTCCCCCTTGTTTTAATTTAATTTATTCTTTACTGTATTCAGCTAGTTGTGCAAGTTAACTTGTGAGACTGAAACCCTGATTTATCTCACTGAATTTTAAAAATCTGAGGTTCCAAATTTAGGAATTTATGATAAATTAAGAAACACTTTCAGTAATTCAGGCTTTCTAAAATTTCAGTAGTCCCTTGAACATGATTATTCCTCTGTACTTACTATAAAACTCCTGAAATAGGTACTTCAGTTATTGAGGTTGTAGGTGGAGTGAATCTAAATGCTATTTCAAGCTTTCATGCATCAGATGAATGACTGCGTTTCTGGAGAAGTTATGTCAATTGATAATGATGTTTCTAATCTGGGTTTGCTTGACTTTAACTCCCAGCAACTGCATCTTGCTGCTCCTTTGGTAAAACGGAATGGGATTGTTAAGCAAATTATCCAATCTCCAAATAAACTTCCCATCTGTCTTGAAAACCTCTTTTATTTTCCTACTGTTTTTTCTGCAGTGCTGACAGTTTAACAGAAAGCAGCCTCCCAACAGTGCCACGAGCTGCAGGAATGCACAAAGGTCCCTCCATGCCTCAGCTGTTTCATCTTCACGTGTCCAACAGTTGCATTGAGTCTCTCAGGCACTGGTGACATAGCTCCTTCTGAGGTCCTGAATCTTTTTCTTTTTCTCTCAAATACCACATCTTCTCATGCAAGATAATGGCCAGTTGCTGCTCATGGATGCTTGATTTGTGCTTGGCTGTTTCACCTGTGTGCTGTTGGCATGGGTACCCCTGGGCAATGGGGCCATGGAGCTCTGCAGAGCTGTCCCCCCTCTGCAGAATTCTCTCAAGTTATGACTCTTTAACACTTCTGCTCCATTTTAAGAAGACAAAATATTTGAGTCCCAAGCTATACCTCGATTCTGTTCAGGCAATTATTTCTATAGAAGTGAGCCTTAAGAAATAAACCCTCAATGGCAGTAAATGCCTCACCTTCAGAAAGTCATTCTCCAGAAATTCTAGGTGAGTTTAGTAGCAATGTAAGAACTGATACAAAGAACAGTTTACGTTATGTGAGAAAAACATTCTGTAATTATAATAATCCTAATATCAGAATCCCTTCCTGTGCACAATATTGTATTCCAGGACAAACTAATGTACATACATTTCTGATTTCAGTATTGCTCAAAATCCCTGTTTACAGGACCAGAAAATCTTTCTAATGTTCAAGTAATTTTTTTTCTTTATAAATTATGCTGGTCCAAATGTTACTTTCTAGCTACAGGGCTCTGATGCAGCTGATGCTGTCTCACTCACCAGTAAGTCTTTTTCCTGGACATTTCTGTCGTCTGAAAACCATATGTACTTTTTAAACAATATATTTATACCCTCTAAGTGATTCATTGAACCAGCATACTTTTCCTCCCTGCTTTTCTGGTAAATTCAAATTAACTTGTGCTGCAGTGCAGAAATGAAAAACAAGCGCATCATGTAATCCATTGTTTATACATAGAATCAATACATCTAATAGAGATGTAAGCTCTTACTGAATGTGAACTTTCTGTCTACCTTGTTCACTATCACAGAATATTAGAATTGAAGACACCAGCTTCTCACAGGCTAACAGTTTTCATGGGATTCATACAACATTTTCATTTCTGCAGGTAGACATCGATCATATAATAGTTTATCACAGTGGGTAGATTTTTAGTTTTCTCTGCAGGTGAAGCATGGTAGATATAAAAAGGTATTCACCCAGTAACCTCCAGAAATCTTATCTCTATTACACAGTGCACAGGTAAATATGCAGTATTTGTGTTAATAATTTTCAGCAGTGTAAGTTCCCTGAAGCTGTTGTTTCACATCAGTCCCCAAACAAATGTGGGTACTGACCAAAGCCTGGCTGCTCCCTTTTGCAGCTGATAAACCAGGGTTCAGCTGTCCAGGAGCGAGACCCACTTTGGTGAAACTCAGTTTGGTAACTTAAAACTGGTGTTTCAGAAGAAGAAAATATTCTTGAGCTGAAAGTGAATTCATAGGCTAAAGGCATGTGACAGAAAGAAATAAAAATACATAGGTGCTTATTGAGCTAGTATTAGTAAGTCTTAAACTCAGGAAAAACAGAGTGAAGGAAAGGTAAAAAATCATGAAGGTGAAAAAAAAGCAGTGTTGGAGGTTTAGCCCAGGTTTTCAATATGAGCAGTTTGCAATGAGTGATGGAAGCCAACACTTCCCTGCTGAGCTCTTCACCATCAGTCACCAACAATCATTCCTCAAATGCCTTTGTTTGGGTCTTGAAGAAATTGATGCTTAGCCTTATATTATTTTAGTCTTGCCTCTCTACTGTGTAAATAACTGCTATATACTCATAAATAGTTCACAAATTTGTTTTCAGAAGGTCTGTATGTACCCAAACCAAATTGTTCAGGTATTATGCCTTTTTTAAAGGTAGGAAACAACATATCTCTGTTGTGTTGCATAGAGACATATACAGACACACTGGTCTTTACAGATTATTTCTCATTAGTAATTCAGCAATTTAAATTCTTTTACACTGGTACAAATAAGATGAGGTGATGAAAAGCAGTGATCCAGATGTCATTTAGATGCACCAATTGCAACAAATTAATTTCCTACCTGTTTTCTTTAACATCCTTGAATGGGTTTCAATCATACCAGGTTCTGGGAAGATTAAAAAAAAAGCTCATGTTAGAGAGGAAAGCTTGAACATAGCTTTCCCAGAGGGATACTTTGTTAGTTTGATTGATAAACTCCAAATAATTGTTATTGTCATATCTACTGCTAACAAATGTAGAATTTGTGTCTGTGTATCTGTGCATGTGTGTGTACGTGTGTGTGCACATAGAAAGGTAAAGGTAGCTGTGCTAGAAATTTTCATACTGCTTTGGTCATTTGTCACCCACAGAATATATATTCCTATGCACACTGAAGCATATTACAATTTCCAATGGGAAAAGGGAGTCTTTCAAATGAACACTAACAGCCAAATGCTAGGATTATCACTTGTCTTCTCTTTGTAATTGTAATGTAATTGACATCCTACATTATATTTCCATTTCAAAGAAACAAGGAGCCCTATTCAGCAGCTGTGCAATCACTCTCCAATTACCACTCACATTTAGTCTACACAGATACTCCTGCTGGCCCAGGTTTTAGATTTCACTTCTGTATTAGAATAAAACAGATTCATTTTAAAGGTCAGTAATCATGCAAGTGAAAGACATTTTTAATGGCAGAAAAAAAATTCACATTAATTCCTGAAATTATGATAGCCAGTGCAGTGCACACTGTCCTATCAACACAGGATTCTAAAAATAAAGCTACTGTCATGATTAGTTTTGGCTTAGATCTAATAGCAGTTTAATGCATGCAGTATCACTTACCAGCTTTCTTAATGTAGTTGTGGTCCACATATCTGTGAAAATAAAATATTCAGTAGCATTACATTTTTATCCAAAGGAGTCGGCCAAACTCTTCCAGTTATACTGTATCTACTTCTTCAGATAATAATCAGGTTTCCCTCTGGAAATTGACGAATTAATTGTTTGCTATTCAAGCAGATTTCCTACTAAAAATGTGTGACCTGAAGGACATCATCATAGGAATAGGAAGTCAAGTTCCTGACTGAATTATAGTTGTGGAAATTTTAGTTTTGTATTAGAATACAATCTGAAGATAGTGATTTTCATTGATTCGGAGAACAAATAATACAGTCTTGATGACTTAGAGAACCTAACAGGAATTATGACGTCTACAGGCTGCAAAAGACTGTGAAGACCCCTGCACAGCACATGTAGCCCAGCTCTCAAGCACATAAAGTTTCCATTAATACTAGGACACAGCCTGTGTGGTCTAAAAGGAAAAAGACTAATAAAAATACAAAATACAGAATTATTGAGAGACAAAATTTAGACTAAGAGGATATGATATACTTAATAAAAGCCACTGCAGATCTGATTTTTCCTGAAGTAATCAAAAAAAATTATTACTACCTCAGAGCTAAGACACAAGGGGAAAAATCCCTTCTTTACAATTGTGAATGAAGAAAAAAGAAGGTGCCCCACTTATTTTTTCATTCAAATATTGTAGAAATGTTCTAATAAAATGCTTATTCTGTATATCCTTCATGTTAAACTCTTGCATTGGTTTTCTCCAGGCAGTTTTCTATGTAATATAACAGAGAATTTATTGATTATCTTTTAAAGGATAGGTTTCATATTTTACTTATTGGTGCAATGAGATTTGTCTCCTTCATTTGTGAAGACACTTTAATAGAAAGGCCCCATTTTCATTTGTCCCGCAAGTCTAAAAGAAAACTTTCTTTGAGAACTCATGCTGGTAATCTAATGCAGTTTCAAAACTTGACAAAATGAAGTGAAAATATGTAGATCAAAAAGAAAAAGCAAATGCTGCTTGAAATGAAGTATCTCAGTAACAGAGAGGTAAGGGTTTAGATTTTCTCAAAAATATTAGTATTTCATGTGGCATATAAATTGTATGTTCCATATGCCATTTAAGGAGTATAGGGAATTCTCTGAGAAATATCAGAGTATCAGCATCCATGCTGCTTTCGGATTTACTTTGCTTGGACAGCAGAAAAGTGTCTATCCAGGTGTTTTGAAGACACTTTGAGCCTTAAGTTGTATTTTTGAATCTCTGCATAAGTAGTCTGTAATTTAGACCTTGCTAGCTGTATACTCAAAATGGTTGCCTCACTGAAGGATCACAGACTCCAGTTCTTAAATTAGCTGTCACATGGACTGCACTGTGGAGTTCATGAAATGAGCTTTCCGAGTATGGAAACTCACTTTAGATTCTTATTTGGGTCTTAAACCCACCAATAAAATTATGTATTTGTCTATTCACCAGACCTTTTCCTTTATAGGTCCAGGATTCCACAGTTATGAAAACATTCATTTTTTTATTTTACTTCCAAGTGAAGAAATCTGATTAGCATAAATTCTAATGAATAAGTTAGACATCTTTAAATATGTCAGTCCTACATGCAAGCTTTTTGTAATTGTTGTTGGAGCTTCCAAGTGTTGTGGTTTAGCTCCATCTCTTTACTAAGCCCCACACTTTTACTTGCTTGATTTCCCTTCCCTCCCTGGTGGAGAATAAGAGGAGCAAAAGTGAAAAAAAACCATGAGTTGAGATAAGGACAATTTAACAGGTGAAGTAAAACAGTGGAATTCATTCACCATGCCCCATGGGCAGGCAGGTGCTCAGCCATCCTCAGGAAAGCAGGGCTCCTCCCTAAGGGTGCTCAGGGAAAACAGATGGCATCAGTGAGAATGTTCCCCCACCCTTCTTCCTTCTTCCCCAGCTTTTTGTGCTGAGCAAGACACCATGGTGTGGGATATCCCTTTGAGCAGTTGGGGTTAGCTGTCCCTCTTGTGTTTCCTCTCAGCCCCCTCACTGGTAGGGAAGGGTGAGAAGCAGGAAAGGCCCAGCAATAATGAAAACATCCCTGAATTAACAAGACTGCTTTCAACACAAATTCAAAAAATAACCAAATACAAGGTACTATGGAGAAAAATACCCCAGACAAAACCAGCGCATGCAGTTTCACTACTTTTTTCTCTTATTGTAGCTAAAATAATTTAAATTACATAAATACTATATTTCCCATAAAATATACTGGATACATGATGGGAATATATTTATAAAACAACTATGGCTTGGTTTGCATAAAGTTAAAGCATCTCTGCCCAGGCTATTTTATCTGTATTTATTCTTTGAGTATGTTTCTGGACAGACCTACATGCCAGAGAAATAGTGATGAAAAGAGTGTTGTCAAATACAGTCACACTAAGAAAAACTGAAAAACCACTAGCTTAATTTAATCCTGTAATGACCTTGATTTTATTATTTCTGGATTGGATGTAATTGCTTCTGGAGAGTCACAGTACTATTTCCTTCCTTGTGCTGGAAAATTATGTTCCTAGATGAGTCAACCATGGGTTTGAAGCTTTGCTGCAGAGTTAACTCACATTATCTTAAACTGGGTTACAATAAATGGTTTTCTCAAAAAAAAGAAAAAAAAAAGAAAAGGAGAGAAAGTGATTGAGAGAAAAAAAAAAAAGAAAATGTATGTAAACTGCCCATTTGTGCTGCTAAATTGAACCTAGTCTTTGAATTTGTAAGCAGGAAGCAAATTTATAACACTTCTTTGCTTGTTTAGTCTCTGAATTCAGTTCCTGTCCCAGAGAAGGACAAGGTGATCACTGAGGTACTGTCACCCACAGTCAGAAAAGGCCAACTAAGTTCTGACCATGGTGAAATCTTCCCCCTAGCAAACAAGGGTCACCAGCTAATCCCCACACCTAACTGAAAGGGCTCTAGGAGGGTTTGAATTTGCATCTCAATTTCTCGATCTCTGTACCAGGGTCACACAACCAAACTTTCTGAATTATGTAGTAGTTCCCCACATTCAGGTTGTCATTACCTATCAACAACCTGTACTCAGAGGTCAGATCAAAACAAAGTAAGATTCTTTTTTCAAATTTTGATAGCTATAACAACAAACTAATTTGAAAGTTAGGAACAAGAAAATATTGATATGTAAAGGGAATAAAAATATTCACCCTTTGGTCAAAATTGCTTTGTTATCATGAATGGCATTCTTTGCCATTCTTTGCCATTTGTGTAACATCATATAAATATTGATGAGTGAGTAATCTTTTAAATTCTTAAGTGTGGTGAAGTGTTTCCATTAATTAGTATTAAAAATGTGTATATGTTTTGCAAGCTTTTTTTTTTTTGTCTTCTATGTAATCAGTTCTTTTCAAAATTTATGGTAAAAATTAGCTCTACATATTATGATTTTCATGTAGAGAAGTACAGTTTAAGAATCAAGATATAATATTTTCTTCTATATCATTCTTGGACCTGTTAATAGATTTTTCTCTTATAGTATCACCTTTTTTAGCTTGAAATATCTGATAAGTTTTAATTAGAATTTTTATTTTGATCTCATTCAACTCTGAGTAACAAATTATCCTAGTGACAAATTTAATGAGCATAATCTTAGAAATTTGCCTATGCAATATTCTTTTCTTTCTTATAATCAATTTTGCATCCTCTGCCTGAAAAGGATCTGAAATGATGTGATCTTTTTACTCCAATGACATCTAAAGCTAAGAACAATCAGGGGCATCTTAGGCTTCTTGGAAAATGTCTTCAGGAATCAAAGGAATTAACATGAAAATGTATCAAATTAAAATATCATCCATCTGAAATGATGAGTGGTACGTGTTCAGAGAATGGAACCAATTTTCTCATCTTAAAGTAAAATTGCTGTCACCATGTGGTTTTCTGACTGAATCATTCAACTTCTTTTATTCCACATACTTTGGCTGATATAGTAATATTCCATTCTCACAATGTTCCACATTAGTAAGCCTCCCATTGTTTCACATAGTGGCATTTCTAAGATGAGCAAACTGCTCACTGAGAAAAGATGCCTTTCCTTTTATCAGACCATTAGGAATAAAATCTTGATCATTAGGATCAAACTTGTTGCTTTGCTGTCTCAAAAACTTTATGCAGCATTGCCACCAAAGAAATTATATTGCATAATTAAAGTCAATAAAACAGGGACTTTTGTTCAGAAATCTTAGAGGTGGATTGAAAAAATAAAAAAGAAAATCAAAAATAAGAAAAATTCCTCTCTTTTTTGCTTTTTCTTAATCCATCTAAATTGCCAGCTGTTGGGTTGATGAGAGAAACTCTGATATCCAGTTAAAATGGATAAGAGGGTGAGAATTTGGCTTATAATACAATTTGCTTTATCTTAGATGGTCAGACATGGCAGCAAAATTCTGATTTCACAGTAGGTCACTAGAAGACACTGACATTTCCATGAGTCATTGCAGGGGTGAATGGGGTGGATGACAAACCTTTAAAATGGGAAAGGAGGCATAACCCAAACTTTCTAAGAGTTGCGCTAGTTCCCCTGGGAAGCTCTGCCATCTTGTGTTCAATGAGAAGATAAATCTGGTTTCCCCAGAGGACAGAAACTGTAGGGCTTTGTGAGTTCTAAAATAAGTGCAGGCATAAACTCATCAGCTTCTGACCACAGTGTAAGGGTAAATTCTTAGACTGGCTTGTCTTTATGAGCGTGGGTGGTACATTTAATGTCACACATGAGTTTGTACCAGTTTATCAAACTCCAGTTTGCCTCAACTGGGCAAGATTAATGCCTTTGTGATAGGTAACACAGCTAGCCACCTGAGCTTGTCCTCACATTTACAGGATTCTGGCACTACTTAGAGAGTTCATTCCTGTAGATTCCCTCTAACAAGTCAGGAGACAAAGTGCTTCTTTAGTTGCTGAGATGTTAGCTGTAAATTGAATCAGATGATCAGTTGTTTGTGCTAAAAAAATTGAATCATGTCAGTCACTAATGGATTA